CAATTTTGTGAAACGAAAATTTTCCTTTTCTTTCGAAAATTTCCAGAGAGAGATAGTATCGTTGCCAATTCTTTCTAGATATTACCAATCTTTTCTAAATTGTTACAAAGTATGTTGCACAGAAAAAGCCGTTATGAATCAGATTACATAAAAAATACTTGTATTTATTTAAATAAACCATATATATTAAATCAATAATGATAAAACATGAAGGTGAGATAATAATTAATTAATCTTACATAATAAAACAATCTTAATTTTGTTATAAAAACAAACTGGTTGTTATAATTTAGATAATTACTTTAAAAAAAGGAGTTCATATACAACATATATAGATATTTATATTCGTTTATTTATATATTTATAAAAATGGAAAAAAAAATAATGACAACGGTGATTATCGTTGTTATTATCATGACGTAGAAGAAGAAGAAGAAGAAGAAGACATAATATGAGAAATATCATTTCTTCTTACTAAAGGAGCAATAAAATAACGATCTAAAGGTAGTGAATCGGGAAATCGTGAACCAAAATCAGGATTATAAAACAACAAATGAAAGACCCGTTTGGAATTTCCTTTACAAGTTATACGAGTACGAAAATATCTATTTTCTATATCAGGATAAATTATAGTTATTATTGCCTTTAGCAGATTGGACAATATGATCAATTGAGGAACGCCTACCAAAGAACCATTAATACAAGTATTCAATGATTCAATTTGCCACACTATAGCCGCATATTGTGGTGCATTAGTAGCAAATCCAAAATGAACAGCCATATCAATCGTGTCTTTCTGGAAATAACCAGGATATACCGAAGTAGTAGTTATTTTCCCACCATTTGCAGATATTTCTTCGGTATGTTTTTCAAAACTTTTCCTATTCTTATCAGTTCTATTCACCATTTCCAACACAGTCCTCACTCTCAATTCCTCGTGATAAGCATCTTTACTTCCCACTTTTTCCCAATCTAAAACATTCAACAAAATTGATATTGATCTAAAACCGTCATTTCCGTCATTTGTCACATTAAGAACATATTTGAATTCGGAAGCATGATCGGGTACAATTATTCGTGGATCATTTGTGACATCATAAGAAGAAAATTGACTTATAGTTTTTGTAAATTGAAGTGATTTGTATTCTGTCACGTCAATAATTTTTTGAATTGCTTGACATTCTTGTTTAAGAAGGGCATATAGCCGATCCCACAATTCCGAATAATCTTCTGGTTTTTTCATAGAACCTTTAATGAATGTGGCCAGTGTGGAAAGACGTAAATTCATTTGATGAAAAAATTCTTGTCGATTAACGTATCTCAGTATTATGTGAGACGGGATTTCTTCACTACTATTACCACTACCAGTAGTAGTAATACTATTATTGAGATTTTCATTTGGGATCGGTGAAGTTGATGAAGAATTTGTTTTTGAAGTTCTTTGCCGTTTGTTATTATTAATTAAGAGTAACTGTTGTAATTGCTGCTGCTGTTGTTCTTGAAAACTACGTTTGTTTGTTGATGTTGATGCTGTTGAAGTTGCTATCGTTGTTGGTGCATCATTATTCTTAATATTATTTATATCGAATTCACAAAGAGAATTTAAAGTTGATGAAGACGAAGTATTTAAATAAATCAAGGACGTGGCATCAGTAGTAGCAGTAACATCATTAGTATTATTACTAATATTAGGCATATGAATATTAAATGCATCTAGACTATCACTAGAACCATCATTGTTTTTGTTGTTGTTTAAAAACCATGGTGTTGATGAAGAATTACGATCATCTGAATATACATCACTTGATAAAAAGTCAGAAAAATCCAAATCTACGTTATTATTATTGCTGGCGGTATTGGTTGTTTTGGGGGACTGAGAAAATTCAGAAGTTTGTGGAGGTGGAGGTGGAGGTGGAGGCGAAGGCGAAAATAAATTTTGATTCGAAATATTGAAAATCGGAGAATTTAAAGAAATTTCTAGGTTATTGTTACCACTACCAGTAATATTGTTATTTTTACCAACGTTGCTCTTATTGTTGTTGTTTGCTTTTTTGTTCGTAAAAGTGTCAACAGGAGTATTCGATAATAATTGATCCAAAAGAAAGGATTTTATATTTTGATTATCGTCCGAAGTGGCAAATAAATCACCAATATCAAAAGTATTAAAATCATCTGGTGACGATGATGTAGTAGAATGTGGAGGGGGTGGTAGTTGCTGAGGTAATAATGTTGAGATAGTGGAGGAAGATGGAGAAGGAGAAATATTTAAAGAAGCGTTATTATTATCTGAAGTGTTGTTGATATTGCTATTTGTTGATAATGATGATAATTGAGAAGATTGTGACAATTGTGGATTTTGATGAATTCTTGATAAATTATTTATATTATTATTTAATAATTGTATTTGATCAGAAAGAGGAAGTTGATTATTGTCATCATTATCTTTGAAGAGATTTTGAGGATTTTGACGCCGAAGGTCTAAAGTTACAGGCATGTTGTCATTGTTGATTAACGTAGAAGAAATTTGTTGTCGATCAGGAGAAGGCAGAGAATTGATTATTAATAAATTATTATTACTATTAGAATTAGGGGAATTAGGGGAAGCAATTGAATTACTAAAAATATTATTACTGTTACTATTGTTGTTGTTGTTGTTGTTGTTGTTGTTGTTGTTGTTGTTAGAAAATGAGAAATAATTAGAATCAGAAATATATTGAAATGAACTCATTTCAAAAATAAAATGTTTGTATTTATATTATTTGCGTTTGTTGTTGTACAACTTGAATAATAAAGAAATGAAGAAAAATTATTTTTGTTTATTATTTGAATATATTTAGAAATAAAAAAAAATAAGAAAAAAATTTAACGAAAGAAATCTGAAGTATGGTTTTTTTATAAAATCACAAATAATAATTATTATTTGATGAAGATGATGATGAATGATGGCAGTTGTTGATAATAAATTAGAAATAGCAAGTTAATTTAATTAAATAATGCGATGTAAATTGATTTTGCGCTTTATATGGTAAAATCTTCTTTTAATTAACATTTTATTTTTCTCAAATTCAAATTTTATTTTTCATTTTTCGTATTGTTATTTCCCTCCTGGTTTTATTTATAAACTTTTCCTAAATTAATTAATTAAAAATAGTTATAATAAGCCCAAAAACAAACTCCTGCTTTCTTTAATTACTATTTTCCAACGTAAACCAATAAAAACAAAGAAATCACAAGAAAGAATATTTGAAACTAAATTAATCAATTGAATGATTAATAAATATAGCATAACAATAAAATTAATTAATTAAAAATTTAAATGATAATAATAAATTAAAGATTTGTTTGTTTGTATCTCTCTTAATATTCTTCTTCTTTACATAAACCTTGTTGTCATACAATAAACTTGATCCAGAAGTTGAACAGAAAACAAAAAAATAATTTAAAGTTCTTATTGTTCTAATTATCTTCGCTGACCGATTAAAAAACGCGTTGTTTCTAATTTTAAATTTAAACTCGCGTGTTTCTTAAAAAAAGAAAAAAATTTAAATTTAAATTAATTAGTTTTCCCAATCAAGAAAGTCCGGTGGCTGAGTTATTGATGTGGCTTGTGTATTGGCGGCTTGTGGATCAGCGAGAAATATTCATGATCAAAAACAAAAAAAAATGACAACACAAAAATTTCTTCATTCCCATATTTGTAAATGTTTGTAATACAAATTTACTCAACTGCGTATAATTGATTGCAAATACTAATTAATTGTTTGTTTTAACCATATGTATAAATTTTGTAACAAATTGATTTAACAAACATGCAAGGACTTTTTTTATTTTTTCCTTTAATTATCAACATATTATACTATGCGTTAATTACTATTAATATTAACCATTATTAAATCATTATGGAAAAACTTATAATTGGATAATAAATATCGAATGAGAAATAAAGAAATTTCACACAATTTATTTTAACAATGATAAGATATCTTTGTTTTTAATTTACTTACATTGTTCTCCAATAACAGGCATTTATTTGCATTTTATAATTTATAATTTATAATTTATCATTTATATTATTATATTATATTTATTTTTTTCCAAGATATTTTTCTTATGCCCTCTTCTTCTTCTTCTCATTCTTTCTCACTCTCTCACTCTCTTGTCTTTCTTCCTTCTTAAAAATTAAATTACATCAAATGTAGATCCTCCCAAGAGTTATGTTAGCTTAACATATTAATTAATTAATTAATTAATTAATTAATTTGATCATGAGTGACTGAATTTGGAAGTGAAAAATTCGTCATTAAATTTTATTGGTTATATTTTGTTTTTTTAAAAAATCCTTTACTTACAACTTTGGAAGCTTTACTCTTTTTCTAAAAAATGTTAAAGTAAATTCCCAATTTAATTAAATCTATAATTAGAGAATTCTAGAATTAATTATTTTTCTTTTTGTTGCATCTTTCTTGGAAAAAATGTTTTTCTTTGTAATAGATAGATAATCTTTATTTATTGCTTACATGCATTTTAATATTTGATATTGATAACAATTCGCCAATCTCGACCTCGACCTAGTAAGAAGATTGTCTTTTCGTCTATGTAAAGGCATTAAATATTACTATTAATAATTGTTTATTATTATTATTATTATTATTATATTATTATTATTATTTATTTTTCTCTGCTGTTTATATTCTATCTAATTACCTTGTATAAAAACAATATCCATTGTTTAAATTGCCATTTCCCGTCATTTTTAGTGTGTGTTACACCTTTCTATATCAAATCTTTCCTTATAATTAACTAACTTAAATCTAATTAATTTAATTTGATGTTTTACCTTTATTAAACACGATTATATAAATCATTTACATATTATTGTGTAATATTAACTAAAGGATTAGATGTTGTACGATGGAACTTCTATTTTTTAAATTATCGGTGAAACCCCGGAAACTTTTAAGGTTTAAAGATAAGGGAAACCATGTAACTAATTCGATGGTAAGGACCGGGAAGGCTGTGTCCTCCAATACTATTATTCGAAGATACTTTCAAAAGAATTGAGCGTCTCTATATATATTTGAATTGATAGAAAATGAAAAAAAGGTCATCGCTTTTATATAATCGAAGGAAAAAATGTCATCGGTTACACAGATTCGCAAATATGTCACGATAAGATAGCCACATTTCTATGTAACTGACCGTATTTAGAAGGATTTATATATATGACTTATATGACTTATCCATTTTGGCCATCTAACAGTATGACAAAAATAGAGTTTAAGAGAAATAATTTATTTTGTAAAATTGGTAATTAAAATCCATTTTTCGAAGAACTTTCTGGAGAAAAGAACATTTGTTATTATTATTATCAGATGCACAATTATGCTATTTTTTCCTATGTTTAACAATCGTATTAAGTTTCACAATTTTAAGCTTATTGCTGAAAAATTTCTTTAACAGAATACATTAAATTTTGCCCATTTATGAATACGACCTTTTAAAATTAAGTGTAATTCAATTAGATATATGTCTTATTTATTATGGAATGAAATTAGAAACTAATGAATTTTTTATATGTAATAAGAGAAAATTAAAAAATATTCAGTGATGTTTTGTTTACCGAATTGTTTTTGGAAAAAAGAAATCATCTCGGCTTTTCGATATTCTTTATATGCTATTTAATTTATTTTAGGTTAAAGGTTTCAAATTAATTACGGCTACTATGAAAAATCCTTTCGTCATTTTGGATTCATTTATTAAATGGAATGATTTTGACTGACATTTATGGTTTAGGATATATGTTATATTTTTAAATCTAGCCAAATGAACAGCAGAAAGTTCAGGGAATAGAAATGTTAGACTTTGGCAGCAGGTTTCAAGCGTCTTCTTTCCAAAGCAGATATGTATCAATCATCATTATTTGAAATTAGAAAATATCCATTATTTGTATTGAAACAAAAATAATAATAGTGAATAGCAAAGAAATTTTGTTGTGAACTTTCTTTCCAAATCTAACTCCAACATTGTTATTATTTTCAGATTTATCAGATTATTTATTTGGTAAACATTGTCTTTACTTAAAAAAAATTAACATAATTAATATTAAATTTAAATATTTTATGTGAAAATAGAAATTACTTCCCCTTTTTCTGCCTTCTTCATGGAGCTCTTTTCATTTCTTAAAAAAAAATTTCTGATGATTCCTGGCTAGTAAAACAAGATTTTTTTATTTTCTTATTGTTTTCAAATATAAAACATTATTTTTAATATATGTATATGTATATGTATATATGTATATAATCAATGATAAATAAGCACACTTCAGAAACGTTACAATGTTTAGATGATAAAGTTTTTAAAAATAAACGGCCTATCTACTATCACCCCATTTACTCAAACAATTACAATGAAATGTATATTGGCATAATATTGTTAACAATCCTGTTACTGAAACATCCATTCTTTCTAAACAACAGGACAAGTAGTAGAATTTTCTTATTGTGAAGATGATGGAATGAATCATGTAAAAATGGAAATGATATATTTCGAGCTAAAATAAAAAGATATTTACTTATATGTAGTAAAAAGAAATAATAACAATACATTGAACTAAATGGCCGAGCATTTTTATAAAAATCATTTACTACATGTGAATTACGAAATTTCATTTACACTACAAATCTATTAGGTTTAGAATCTATAACGAAATATAGTATGTGATTATAATAAATCATCTTTATATAAATTTACCTTATAGTCCTAAAATGTCTTACATCATTTATGGTGCAATAAACCTAAAAATCTGCACTTGTACGAGAAGGAACAGCTGATACAGCTGATATAGTATCATCATTATCCTCAATTTTTGTTCAATTTATTTTAACATTCAGCTTCAGGAATAAGAACAAAAAATTATAACAACTAAAGAAAATTCAAATAAAAATTTTTTATTAATAATATCAAAATCGTAGTCATAACTCTTGTTGATATTTAAAATTGTAAAAAAAAAAAATCAATAAAACTGCAAATACCTTTAAATTATCTTTCAATGGCTCTACTATAAATAAACATAACTTTTTCTTGAAAACCCATTTATTAAAATCCCTACCGAATTTATCTGTGGCTTATTAATTGGACTTTTCCTCGTTATAAAAAAATCAAAAATTGATAAAATAATTAATGAAATAGAGCCTCGGAAAAATTACAGATCAAGTAGACTAATTGGTGAAAATAAATACCTGAAAGAAATTGAAACTTTGTAATTACTATTACTTAAGGAAAAAGGATTGCTGCATCAATTTTCTATCAACAAAAAATAATCTTGGATGAAAAATTAGAAGCAATTCAACAGTGAGTTGATAAGGAAAGAAGAACGAGATGGAAAGAAATTGAAGATAATGAAAATAACGAAACAAAGAAGATACAAATATTTTCCTCCAATGTAAGTGCTCTGACATTCGTTTTATCACCCGTGACAAAAAATCGATTGTTGAT